AAAAAAAAAGAGGAAACATCCAAGTCCTTACTACCCCAGACCTCCTACTACCTGGAATTGTACACTGGTATGGAGAAAATGTTCATTCGAACAACTTCACCAAAACTCAATGATTCAAGCAGTGATTACATTCTTTGGTATCATTTAATGTACATGTTCCTATTGCATTAAGTCAAACTACAAAGCTCCCTGCTCCTCACCCGCTTTTGTAGGCTGTGAGGTAAAAAAGGTATTTCATGAAGTAAGTCTCATGACTGGAACATAGCCACTTTCAGTGGTTTATGTATTGTCAATGGCGGTTTTTGTGCTACTTGGGCAAAGTTGAGTAGTTGCTACAGAGACCATAATAGTCTGCAAAGCCTCAAGTATTTACTGTATGGCCCTTTACAAGTTTGCCAATCCCTACTCTTTTAGAGAGGATTTTACCTACAGATGGATTAATACTCAAAATCAAAGTATGAGACATACAGTATTGTAAATTTATTTAAAAGCCTTGACATAATAGCATACAAAGGCAATATGCAAAATGTCAATTATAGGGACGCCTGGGTGGCTCAGTTGGTTAAGCGTCTGCCTTCTGTTCAGGTCATGATCCCAGGGTCCTGGGATCAAGTCCTGTATCTGGCTCCTTGCTCAGCAGAGAGCCTGCTCCCTCTGCCTGCCGCTCCCCCTGCTTGTGTGCACACTCCTGCTCTAATAAATAAATATATTTTTAAAAATGTCAATTATAACTGGTGATCATCAAGTGTATTTGTTTCTAGACTTAACCTATTTATATCTGGTTAAATATAGAGAGTTCCTAGCTTGTTTTAAATGCAGGGAGTTGGGACTATGCAAGCTGAAACTGCAATCTTAATCTATGGGATTAACAATCTTGTTCTGTAACCTTAAAATCTGTCAAACTCTCTTGATGTTGGTTATAAATATAAAAAATATTTAAAACAAACATTGAAAATTATAGCGTTTTATTTACAGAAAAGTCTCAACAGTAGTTTGAATAGTGCTTGCTCTCTCATATAATTTACAATATGGAGCAAGAATCTTTTCTTCACCTTGGCAAATTGTCATACTCCTCTGAGTTTGGATCTGCTTCTAAAATTTTATTCTTTACCCATTCAACGTCATGAAATATCTGAGAGTTCCTTTAATGTGGTTTTTCACCTGCATCACTTCCTCTGAAACGTATTCATCCTTTACAACACACAACTGCTTTCCTCCTTTATAACTATGTTCACCTTTACTAAATTCTCCTGGCTGTATATCTAGAACTACTTCTTGAATCGCAGCAGTGTTAACATTCCCAGTCATCTGTATCTTCTAGAACTCCATTTACATTACAGCCAAACCCTGTGATGTTTTTACACAGTAGTCTTCTAATGTGCAAAGCAAGGACTGCCTGTGATTCTTGGAATAATGTGCAAATTTCACAGTAGCATCCTTATCTGAGCTTGCAGCTTCACCAGATAGTGGAAAATTAATCAATTCATGCCGACTTTGCCAACGACGAAACCAGCCTTTATTAGCAGTAAAATGTTCTTTTTCAGTCTCCTTGTAGTTAAGCATTTTCCTTCAGTGCAGCAACTAACCTCAACACTATGGCTTGAATGCTAGCCAAACTGATTGGGATTTGTTTTTTATTAGAGTCCTCAGTCCCAAGTAGAAGTAAACATTCCATTTCAACCATACACGGCTTTCTGTTCCTAGTACAATTTAAACTAAAAAATGTTGAAGCAACTTTACCTAAAAGTTTCACTGAACTTTTAAAAGATGGTTCATACTATAGGTTCATGTCAGCCTAGGTCTCATCTTGTCTTCACTATGCTGTCACCATTTTCAAATCTTCTAATGACGTCCAATTTCACTTCCAGTGTTACCACTTTTTCTTTGCTGCCCTGTCATCTTTGTTGACCAATTTCCTCTTGATTATCCATTTTTGTAAAATGTCGGGGGGTTTATCACTGGAAAACAAGTAGGCAACACAACTACACGCTTTACTCTGTGTGTGAACTAATAGATGTTCAGTGATCAATCACCAACAGACTTTTGAAAGAAGTGATATAAGTGGTTACTGACAATCTTTTATATCCATAATCATTTGTGGAATAAAGAGCTACCAGCAAAGCTTATGAAACAATTTGGTTACTATCGTGGTAACTGAAATTTCAACCATGTTGTAGGGGAATTGGTGTTATTTAACTAAACTGTGAAAACTGATCTTCACATATATTGGAATGATGCAAAGTAAGGACTACCTGTATCTAAAAAGAAAAACCTGTATTAGTTCACAAAATAAGTCAACTTTTAACCCAGTTTAACTACTAGTCAAACATAACTATAGATCAAAATAAAAACCGAAGGTTTTCTCAAAGGACTGTTAGTTCCAGACTGAATTACTCACTGGAGCTGGAAAAATGTCTGGAGACAAAGTAATACATAATTCTTCATATTATGATTTGCAGACAGTCCAAAGACATCCTTTTGAGAATTTAGGCCCCCTCCCCTCATTTCAGTAATCTTGAGGTCTGCAAAAAAGTAAAGTTCTGGACAAATCTACTGTTGTCCAGGCTGTTAAGCTTCAGTCATCACAAGGCACAAGACTGTATGTGTTTACAACTTATTCCATACCAGCCAGCAAGCACTATGTTTACTTCTGTAACAATAGCATCCATCCCATTGATGTTTTAGTTTTGTTTTTGAATGCACTTATTTTGTACATCTTTTCATTAAGGCATATAAGCAAAGTTTACATCAACTTTTGTTTGTACAAATTTATGAAACAGAGAATGTGTGTGAATCAATTTTGAGTATTTGCAAAAATTTTTCTCCTTTATATTCCTCAGATTTGAAACACCCCAAGACAACATGCACACCGACAGATTAATCTGGTATTAGATTTGAGATTTCCAGCTTTTGACTACCTACTTATCTACTGTTCTTGAATAAAGCTTAAGTTACAGGATGGTCATTCATTGGCATATCAAAGAGTCATTTATAGAACATCTAAAAGTTCAGCAAATTTAAACCCTGGAATATATGATCTCTAAGAATTTCAGGGGATGAATTACATTATTGTTTTTGAGAAAAGATGATCATCAAAGTTAAAAGTCCTGACCCCAGCCACCCAATTGCCAATCCTGAATCAAATCTATTGATTTAGAAAATTATATTATCTTTCAAAGGTGAAATAAGGGGAAAAAATTCGAGTATGATACCCACATTATGCTCACATATTGTTTGCTGATACCTGATTTTCTCTGTTCGTCAAAATTAACAAATTAATAAACCTCTTACCTTACTATATAAACGTTCACATTTTTTATCAATCTGACAAAATGTTCTTTATGAAAAACCCTCAATTTCATTCCTAAAAGGGAAAACATTAATAAGTAAATCAACATACAGAAACTGTAGTCTTATCTATACTTTTTTTCTCCCACTATGATTTTCTTTTTCCATTATGTCCTCATCCACATACATTAATCACAACAAATCATGATGTGAACAGCAGTGGAAAAAGTTTAATCATTGGACATTTATATTTTTTTCCTATTTTCAACTTAAGCTGTAATCATAAGGTTTCCATGGTTTAGCCCTTTTTAAAGAACAAATATACATTTCTATAAATTTTAATTCTCATAAACAGATTAAGACCTCCAATTTTACTATCATTGGAAAAAAAACTCATACCAAAGATAATTTCAAATGTATTATTTATCTATTTTGCACAAGATTACCTTATGCTAACTTAGAAATGTATTCTCAACATTAAGCTTGACATGGAAAGGATAACTATAGCTTAATACATTCCAAAACTGGTTATATCTTGTTTTATATGTAATGCTTTTTGTTATTTGACAAGGTTTCCAATCATTAGAAGCACATAAGCTTTAAAGGAAAAGGGGGAGAGTTGTCACTCCTAACAAAGCAGTGATAAAGGGAAAAGAAGACTCCAAAGATTACAAATCCTTGGCATTAATTAGAATTCTGCCAATTATGGGCATTCTGATTGCTTTGCCAAGTCTATATTTTGCTCATTAAGAGGGACAGAAGCCCATGGGGGGAGGGGAGCAACAGAAAGAAAAGGAAGTATGGGGTGCCCGGGTGGCTCAGTCAGTTTAAGTGTCTGATTCTTGATCTCAGGGTTGTGAGTTCAAGCCCTGTGTTGGGCTCCATGCTGGGTGTGGAGCCTACTTAAAAAAAAAAAAGAAATGTATACTCACCATATTGGATAAATATCAAGCTTTTGAGGAAAAGGACACAAAGTGCCTAAAGCTGCTGCTGCATATTTATACCTTTATTCCATCCCATGTCAAATATTTGCATAAGTGCCTTTAAATAATTGGATTATGTTCCTTCAAAAACTGGAAACAGAAATTTCAACCTAAGTCAGTCTGCATCCCAAGCAAATACCAGGAGTACTTATATCTATAGTCTTCTCTAGCCACCTCCACCTAGGAAGAATTGGGAAAAGGGAAATTGGTCCAAGAAAAATATATATGATCAAAGTAGAGTATTCTAGCTATAAAATGAGCTTTCTTATACAATCCTTAGCAAATTTCCAAAAGGAATGTAGCATCACTTATGGAATTTATATATTCATGGCCAAGAAACTATGCACCTTAGAAAAGAGAGCACTTATTTGATACATAGGCTCTCATACTTCTAATTATCTGACGAAATATCAAACTCTTGATTCAATAAATTGAAGCAGTTAAAAAAAAAAAAAAAAGTCAAGTGTGGTAGTTGACCTCCAAGAGGATCCCCAATAATCCTCCACCTTTGGTATTCACACCCTTGTATGTGCCCACCTCCATGTTGTCTTGGCATTTCTCTCTTGGATCATTCCCTCTGGTGGAAGCCAGTTGTCATGTTGTGCGGATACTCAGGCAGCCTATGTTCACATGGTGAAGAACTGGTCTTTAGCCAACAGCCATCAAGGAACTGAGGCTTGCCAAGTCAGACTCTGGAAAACTGATGTCTCTCCGCTTCACCCTCCTCCCACTGTAAGATAAGTGTTTATTGTTGTAAACTACTAAGTTTTGGGTGATTTTTACATAACAATAATTAATACAGAGGGCCACAATCCATATTCAAAAAGTAAAATGTAGGGGTGCCTGGGTGGCTCAGTTGGTTGGGTGGCCAATTCTTGATTTTGGCTTGGGTCATGATCTTGGGGTCCCGGGACAGAGCCCTGCGTTGCACTCTCCACTCAGCTCTTCCTCTCCTTCCCCTGCCCCCGCTGCCGCTTGCAGTTGCACGGGCTCTCTCTCACTCTCTCTCTCTCAAAAATAAATAAAATCTTTCTTAAAAGAAGAGAGAGAGAACATGCACATGAGAGAGTGTGAGAGAACAGGAGCAGGGGAAGGGGAGAAGCAGACTTCCCACTGAGCAGGGAGCCCAATGTGGGGCTCAATCCCAGGACCCTGGGATCATGACCTGAGCTGAAGGCAGACGCTTAACTGACTGAGCCACCCAGGTGCCCCTAAATAAATACACCTTTTAAAAAAAGGTAAAATGTACAACTTATGAACTGAAAAGATCTGAAATTTTGGAGAAAGGATCAGATTCAGAACAGTTTTTTACAGTTGGTCATCAATAACTTCCAAACCCCAAGGCTTTCTGAACTGAAAGGATGAAAAATTCTGCAAGAATGTTACTAGAAATACACTTTAATATACTGGGGCAATAAGGGTTCTAGTAGAACTAGCTAAGGAATCCGACAAAAGGGTAGGTGTTCAACAAGGAAGATACCAGTCTTAGAAAGCAAAAAGTCTATTTGCTTTCGAGGTACCTAGGTGGTTCAGTTCATTAAGCCTTTGCCTTCGGCTCGGCTCCGGTCATGACCTCGGTCCTGGGATCTAGCTCTGCCTTGCTTCTCCCCCTGCGGTGGGCGGGGGTGGGGGGGGCGCCTCGGCTTCTCCTATACTCTAGGAGCATCCTCTAACAGCCCCCACCCCCTCCCTGTCTCTTAAATTAAAATAGTCTATTTGCTTTCATATGGTTGTTGTGAGAAACAGTGTAAGAACAAACCTTGTGTATAAAATGCTAGCACAATGCCTGACATATAATGGTTCAATAACCATTAGCTGTTATTTTTTCCCCAAGCTACCGAATTAATGAGATTCTCTAACAGGAAATTATATTTCACCAAAGCCTTCACAAATCTTTACTTGGACAATCCTCTATTTCCAACTCAGTACTATTGTTCCAGGAACACTTAGTACATTTAAAACAGAAAGATATACTGATACACTACCTCCCCTGTATATTTGGAGAAATTATCTTCCAAGGCCCAGGAATCTTTTTCCAACATCTCCAAGAATATTAATTCCTGAAAAAAGGTATTTTAAATTACATTGCACAATGGTCAATGCCTTTTACAATAATACCTTTCATACAGCTTACATATCCTCATTTATATATTCAATAATCACAACGGTTCATTATGTGAACAGCAGTGAAAAGGTTTAATCATTGGATATGAAGTTATTGGAGGAAGCAAAGATAATCAAATGATCAAATTGAGAACCTCAGTGTCACCAGTAAAATAGCAACAAAAATGTAAAAGTTATAACCAAATATAAAGATACATAAATACAACTCAAAAAAAATTACACATTTATGAAAGATTGCATATTTCCCTATCCAGAAGTATGCCCTAAAGAATACCTAGGGCAGTTGACTCCTCGTGGTTCCCATAAAGTGAGTTTTTCATTTAATCAGTCTACACCATTAAAGTAAATCTGTTTTGGGGTGCTTGGGTGGCTCAGTCGCTGCGTCTGCCTTCGGCTCAGGTCATGATCCCAGAGTCCTGGGATCAAGCCCCACATCGGGCTCCCTGCTCGGCGGGAAGCCTGCTTCTCCCTCTCCCACTCCCCCTGCTTGTGTTCCCTCTCTCACTGTGT